TTTGTAAGAGATTCACTTAATCATCAAATTATTGATCATGTAATTTAATATATTAAATATAAAAATAAAGGATCACAAGTCGACTAAATTATTTTTCCTAATATAAAAATTAGTTATTCATGCTGGAAGAATAAAAAAAAGAAAAAGCGGAAAGAAATCACCAAAAATTGGCCAAACGTGAAAATTTTGGGTTTGCCTTTCTTCTTTCTCTTTTTCCTTTTCTCTTTCTCTACGTACTATTCTGCTACCTCTTATTTCTCTTTTTTCTTTCACCTTTTTGACTTTTCCTTTGTATGTATATATATATTTTCTCCCAATGTGGCGACTGTGTATATATATTTTTTGCTTCTTTTCTTTTTCGTGTGTCACCGTCCGTCCTCTTTTCTCTGTAATGTGTGTATATAAATTCCTCCCTGCCAGCTATTGTGTTCTAGAGTAACTAGAATTCCAAGTCCAATTAGATTGAGTTCAAATCAAAGTAAAGCCCATTTTAATAATAAATTTCACTTCTTTCCTGCTATCTTAAATTGTAATTTGCACCAATGTCCAACTTTATTTTAGAATGTGCATTCTAACCCTTCAATTTCCAAAGTGTGAAATATTATTTCCATAATTTTCGATTTCATTCAATTTTATCATTCTTTTATTTCCAATTGCTTCGAACGAGTCCATAACTAAAAACAAAAGAAAATTAACATAAGTTAAGTAAAAATTAATAATTTGACGACATAAAAGTTTAGTAATTTGATCCAAATAGGTACACAAATTGCACTTATCAAGTATCTCAACACAGCCTGCATATCCATAGCAGGACCTTTAGCTCTTTTTCATGCATATGTTTGCACAATAAGCCCGTTAACAAAGAAGGATCTGGGACGTTGGGAGCAATACCCCGGCACCATTCACTGGACATCACTTGTTTTACATCTAATAGATGACTTGGGAACTTCATCTGTAAGCGAACTAGACTCTAACTCTATGTTTGGTACACAGTCCAGTCTCAAATAAGAAAAACAAGGTTAATTAGCCTTGTACGAGATTGTGTATCAAACATAATTTTTCTTTTATACAATAAAGTATAATAATTGATGCATAAAATTTTTTTTTCTTTTGGGACATAAATATATATCCAGGACGAAATCAAGAGAGGTGATGTTCCAAAATCAATCCAGTGTTACATGAAGGACACATGTTGTTCCGCAAGAGGATGATAGAGTCTACGTTAAGCATTTAATAGATGTGACATTGAAGAAAATAAATAAAGATATACTAATGGATAACCACTTCAAGGGTTTTGTTGGTCCAGCGGTGAATTTAGCACGGACTACTCAATTCATTTACCTGTATGGAGATGGATTTGGAGTTCCTCGTCTCGAGACTAAAAGGAACTTAAGTTCATTAGTTGTTGAACCAATTCCCCTGCAGTATTTCTGTGGGGGCGTATAATGAAAGTCGTGCCGTGTGTCATTTTGATTTTTTAGTCCCATTCTAAAGAAATTGTAATGATATGGGGTCGAAATGTACATATTGTAGAAAAAATTTCGAGGTGACGAGGTGGAGGGAGTCCCACCTCAACTGGACTCATAGCTTTGGCTCCACAAGCTATGCCTAAAGTGGTCTCACCAATAACAGTTCAACTCGTGATTCGAATGGAACACAACACTTGAGGGAACTTATCAACCCATGCTCATTTGGAGGCATCAAGCTTTCTTTCAAAAGTATACTTGATGAATTTGTTGATGGCTTACACTTGGACATTTGCTTGGAGGTGATGAGGCGTGGAGAAATAGCCTCAACTTTCTGGAAGTATTTACGAGGGAGAGAGCGAATGGGTAGCGATCCTACACTTGCGGAAGGCTTTGCTTACATAGTATATAGGCAGTTGCTAGTTGCCTTCTTATCTCATGAAAACTAAGATGATGGTCTATTCAGATATGATCAAATATAGTAATAGGGGCTCATCAGCTTTGAGCTTGGAAAGGGAGGGAGTGTGGCCGAGGTGATTCTTTAATTTCTGGAAGGTGTTTTCACACTCCTCTTTCTCCATTGGAACATCTTCCCTACTTTAAGAATCTTAAAAAAAGGAAAGCATCTGTTGGTGACTTTTGAGATGAAGTGACTCAAGGCTGTCTCTTACCCAGTGAGGCTCTGCACCTCCTCAAGTTTCAAGGCGAAATCATCTCTACCAAGCTTAATATTCTCAAGGTTAGCCTTGATGCCTTTTTGATTAACCATGTAGCCTAATAACTTTTCGAAAGCAACACCAAAGGCACACTTAAGATGATACGCCCTACTCCTGATAAAGCTAGTGGACCCGAAGTGTGACGTACGCCGATGATAGATACCAACTAAAAGTTGGACCCACCATCAAAGCTACTACAATGTGAAACATATAAATTATTTAAATAAAAATTTCGGCGTTATCTCCCCTGTGTTTTGGACTAACCAACCTGTAAACAATTTTATACAACTCCCAACAATAGTACCATGTCAATACTAACCCATAATTATATAACACGGTATAGAGATAAACTGAATTCTCAATACTTTTACTATGAAAATAACTCACACTTAAGATGATACGCCCTACTAGGGGTGGGCAAAAAACCGACCGACCCGACGAAACCGACCGAACCGACCCAAACCGCCCGGTTTGGGTTGGTTTTTTGTTATTTTTGGGCGGTTTTCGGTTTTCGGGTGGGGTGGTCGGGTTGGGTCGGGTCGGTTCGCGGGTTGGCACCGTGAACCGGATAGAACCCGACCCAACCCAACCCGAAAATTAAAAAAAAAAGGAAAAAAAAATGACGTTAAAAGGGAGGAAAAAAACCCTAAAACGCAGCCAGCATCCTTCAGACCTTCACTCTTTCTTTCTCCTGCAGCGCCTCCCCGTCTCCAGCATCCTTCACTCTTTCTTTCTCCTGCAGCCACCATCCTTCAAGTGGTGAAGCCCTTTACGCTCGCCATCGCCATACCATTTTTCTCCCTTTACGCTCGCCATCGCCGGCAAATTCAGATTCAGGCAACTTTCGTAACTAATTGTTGTTTTTTTGCCCTTTCCCAACCACTCTTTTGCTGCTATTGTCCTAGGGAAAAAGGGCAGTACAAGAATCCAACCAAAATTGTATTGCTTCTTGTCAATTTAGGTACCCATAATTGTATTTTTTTCTCACAGGCATAAGCAAAAACATATGTTCATCTGCTCACGCCCCAGACACGCACGTATATTTTAATTTAGGTGTTCTTTTGCCTATGTGTGCATTTGTGTGTATTCTTATTTGTAAGTTCATTTCTTATTAGATAAATAAATATTGTATATTTGCTGAAAAATCAAGTCAGCATGTCATTTGTGCATGATTGTTATATTTTGCCCAAACTCATTTTTTTAAATTCTGTTATAAGAGTAATGAAATTCACGGGAATTATTCACGAACTTCTATAATTTTGCCAGTCTCACATTTTTACTCGTAATCCATATCCCACAATGAAATCTCTTTTGAGTGTTTACATGGATCCTAATAAATCGGTGAGTCTTGTATACTAATCTCGCCTGTTGCACCTTTTCAGCATTTCCCCTGTATCTGGAGGTTCCTGGAGCCAAATGAAGTTTTTCGTTTTCTATTGCTGGAAAAATTTCACTCTGAAATAAAGTAAATGAAATGAAAAAACAATTGAGCTCTAGATAAGAACGAATTCTTTAACTCATATAGCTTGTCTGTTGTCAATATGTGTTGTCGGCTGATTTTGCTTGGGATTCTGTAATTTGACTAGTCACTTGGAAAGAGGCTTGTTTTGGTTTCTGTCTAGTCTATGTCTAGTTTTCACTAAGTCTATCTTTGAAGTTAGGCATTATTACATAGAAAGCAAGCTGTAAAAAATTCTTATCGTAAAGAGTCGAGCATTGCTTGCTTTAAACTGAATTATCAATACTTTTACTATGAAAATAACATCAATTGTACATATGGATGCAAAATATATAGTGAGCCCATCAACCATCTACAAATGATGTGGAATGACATTAAAAAATGAACATGTGTCCCAAAACATTGACTATATGCTCTTGAAAATGAGTCATACTAGCTAACTTCGTCAGTGGCTTTGACTCCAAATCAAGGCTCAACTCCACAAGATCCCCAAAAATTCTGTAAACTAGAATAAGTATATACTCATGGGTACTTTTCTGGTCGATCTCAATATCATATGTCTCACATTCTAATTCGCAAATAATTCATACACAATCTTTAAAATTCCACACCGATCGTAATGAAGGAATATTTCCAAATTAATCATGTAATTGGACAAATAATTCACGTAATTGCATAAAATGTATAATAGTATCATTAATTTATCAATACTTGGAGACTACTTAAGTTTTTCCACTCACAAGCTATTTAGGGGGTGATTAGTGTGGTTGATAAGCTGTCTCGATCTCTGCGCTACCTTCTAATATAATAATAAACTTATTTGGTCAAAACTCAATTCACAATTTTAATAATAATAAAAATAGGATAACCATTTCACTTCTTTTTACCAATTTACCCACCAATTACCACCTATATTAAATTCATTACTTATTCACCTTATACACCTATACAACCCCCATACATAATTTAATCGCATACCTAAACTTCCATATTTATCATTTAGTTTCATTCTAACTCATAAAAGCTGAAAAAACAAAGGCTTGACAAAAACAGTGCTAAATTTCAAAATATTGAAATCTGTCACTTGTTTCTGTATTCTGGAAATTACCACCAAAACTATTAATAGAATTAGCACTTTCTGAAAATAATTTCAAAAGTAGCACCTGTATATGAATTTTTCCGAACATTGCTAAAAAATAGAAAATTCCAACCTCAAATCCCTAATTTAAGTATTTAGCGTCATATACTCAAAAGAAAATCAAAGAATATGTTTTTATTTCACAAACCCATTTCCAAGTTTTTACTTTCTTCAACACCAATCCTCCAATATGCATTTCTTTATATATATTCTTGTTTAATATCTAAAATATGTTTCAATAACCCATACTTCTTGTTAAATTTTGAATTTAGGGAAAATTTCCATAAACCCTAAAATCTAACATCATTCTTCAATAACCAAAAATTATGCTTACCTTTGAGAATTGAGAAAGAAATTGAAGATTGTAACATTTTTCTTCTTCTCTTTTCTTTCTTTCCTTTCCTTTCCTTTCCTTTTTTTTTTTTTTTCCTCTCTCAAGGTTTGGTCTCTGTTGCTCTCTGTTTTCCCAAGACTTTGAGCCCAATGGATAGCTAAGGGTAAAGTTAAATGGATGACTATGAGGAAATTGCAAAGTCAAGTCCCCAATCTTCATACAAATCATATTTAGTCCTTTCATTTCTAATAATGTAAACTAACTTCCTAGATTTCTTTATATATTATTTCTAGCCCTCGAGTATTAGTAATTATCAATTAGACCCCGTAAAAAATCATTTATTCAATTTAATTCTTGTTTGACTTTGACTTTGACTATAAATGGATGAGGTGTAACATAAGAAGATTTAACATCATCCAATACCTTCTTAAAATTTAGAAATTGGCATCTTGGTGCATGGTGTGGTCCTTAGTTTTGAGGCTTTTAACCAGTATGTCATCCACGTGCACTTCCATCATTTTGCCAATGAGCTCGGCAAACATTTTGTTTACCAAGGTTTAATAGGTAGCTCCAACATTTTTAATTTGTTCACCAGCCTTTGAAGAAAATATGTTCTTTATCTCCAAGGTATATGGAAATTTGGTTATAACTTGAATAGGCATCCATGAAGCACAATAGTTTGTACTCGACGTAGCATCCATGAGATGATCTATTCGTAGAAAGGAAAGCTAACCTTAGGATAACTTGATTAAAGTTGTAAAAATATATACATACCCTTCACTTACCATTATACTTCTTGATGAGGATAGGATTAGAGATCCTCTCGAATATTGAGCTTCTCTGATAAAGCCATTAGCAATCAACTTCTCGACCTCTTCTTTCAATGTCGCATACCTCTCTGAATTGAGGGCTCTTTGCTTATGCCTATTTTGGGTAAATTTGGGTGGGTCAATGCCCACCATATGTTCGTACTTTCAAGTGAAGATGTCCAATTTTTTGCATATAAAGCCTTTAAGCTTCGTCTTTGCTTTCTTTGACAAAGTCTTGCTGACCTGAGGTAACTTAGTGGGATCTTAGAGATCTACCAGAAAAGGTTTCGCTCTTTTAATGGAGTTGTGTGTGGATCGAATTCAATGATGCGTGGATCCAAGTCATCATATATGTCTCCTTATTAATGAGCTTTCGCCATATCGACATCTTCTCTTGGGTCTGTCCTTTTCTCAGGAGTGTCGACTATTTCAGTATTTATTATCACCATATTAACCTCACGGGGGATTTCTTTTCTTAGGGAGTTTATGTAGCATTTCTTAGCCTCCTTTTGGTTGCCTTTGATAGTAGCAATATCATTTTCCTCGGAAAACTTAATGCATAGGTTATGTATGGAAGTTATAGCGCATTATTCTTTCAAGGTTGGTCTTCTCAAGACTCCGTAGTAGGTTGACATGTTATCTCTCACAAAAGATTCTATATAGTGGTGAGCCACAAGAGGAGCTTTTTCCATCCCAACTTCAAAGGTGAATTTACTTCCTTCGGCGATAGCCATAAAGTGGAGAGATCATGAGGATGAGCTTGGTCATGGGTGGATCCTAAGATGATGTTGACAGAGCTCCCATTGTAGTTAGTGTTGGGGTATGCTAGCTTGTTAGAATAGTTCATTTGGGCATTTTTGGATTTTTTTCACCCACATAAGGACCTCTAAAAATTGTGTCGATTTCTTATATAATTGCATCATCTACATTTCGAGGATCTCTTTTTCGCCTTTGTCCACTTTTGGACCTCCCTCATTTTCTATCCCTTCTGTAGCGAGGAGGATAGTCTCTAGGAGATCGCATCATCACTTTTCACCTAGGCTATTCAGCTTGCCTAGACAGAGATGAATTCCCTTGTAAGAAAATATCTTCTCTCCTAGGCACAAGAGGATTGCTCCGTTCTTTGGTGCCTACTAAGTTTCTACATTCACTGGTATTGTGTCCATGTGTTTGATGGTATGGTACAATCCTAGTTAGGTCTTCTATGCCTATTGCCTCTTGAGGATGGGCTATGTAGGGATGGGCCCTTGATTTTCATAGTTACTAAGCCCAGTCTTTCATCAGACCAAGGCTGACATGATGTTCAATGTGGCCATGACATAGGTTTGGCATGAAATGGAGATGACATGGTACCCTGCTTGGGTCTACCATTGGTTCACCAGTGGAAGTGGGTCATCCACTTACTGCATCTAATGACGAGGATAGCCCCACCTGCTATCCTATTCCAACGATTGATCATTTCTTCATTGACGATATCATCCCTCATCATCTCTACCAATTGGTCATAGATGGTAGGATTATTGTTACGGATGTCCATCTAGAATATGATGTTCATGTTATAGCCTCCTTTTAGTGCAGAGAGAGATTTCGTGTAATACTTCATCCATTTATAGTCAAGTCAAATAAGGATTAAGTTGAATAAATGATTTTTATGCGGTTTAATTGGTCATTACTAATACTTGAAGGGCTAGAAATAATATAAAAAGAAATTTAGGGAGTTAGTTTACATTATTAGAAATGAAAGGACTAAATATGAGTTTGTATGAAGATTGGGGACTTAACTTTACAATTTGGCTATAGTTATCCATTTAACCTTGACTTTATCTATCCATTTGGCTGATTTCTTTGGAGGGAAGCAAAGACAGAGGAATGTATTGAATTATAAATTGATATATGAATGATGAATAAATTGCATGCTTAGATTAATTTTTTATTTTTCATGTGAAATTTGAAATATATTGATCATGTGAATTAAGTTAAGCATTGTATATGGATGAATTGAATTCATAATTGGATAGGTTGAAATAGTGGACCATAGATGTTAAACCCAAAACCACAAAATTTTACATCATTGGACCAAATTTAGAATAGTTTGGGGGATTTCACTATTGTATGAAGATATTGAGATAAATTGGGATTTCATGTGTGAAAAAAATCTTATGTGGATTGTCTAAGGTCAAAATGATGAAATTTGGTAAAATCTCAAGTTAGATGTTATTTTTCTTAAATTTGTGTTTAATGAGAAACATTGCACTAATCAAAACATAAAAAATTATTATTATTAGTTTATTTAAAAATTTCTCTTCGTAACATTTATGACTCGAGTAATTAAGCCCGCAAAGGTATCTAAAAACTAGTGCCCTATAGTCTGATTTGAGAGTTATCGGCCAAAATTTTGTTACATGGGTCATTTAGAAAGTTTAAGGGTGAGAATGTTTCAAATAAAAACAAAAAAAAAGTTGAAAAAAAATTTAGAAAATCAGAAAAAGCAAGTGTATGAAACAGAAGATGCACCAAATGCTTTGATTATGCCCCAAACACTTATTTGGGAAATTTTGACTTTTGATATGAGATTATTAGCCTAGTTAGTCCTAGAAATTGAAGCAATCAAATTATGGAGAATCCTTGTTTATTGACATATTGACTAGCAATTAGTGAGATTTACCTAAACTAGAGAGGT